TAAAGTTAGTAGGGTCAGATGTGCTACCCGATTTATGTAAAGGAATAATTTTACTATATTTCACGAGCTCAGGAAAAATACCACAATCAGTGCATTCATTAAGTATATAAGCTAAGATTGGAGCTATTGTCTCAATTACCGATTTAGAAACTTCAATGGAATTACCCCATAAATCAGCGGTTTTCTTTATCTTTAGCTGATTAAAAGATTTTATTATATCTTTAAAAACAATGAGTTGAAACTTAAATTGGCTATTAGAATTATTTAAACTTGCCTTTAAAATAGATTCAGCAACAGTGGAAGAGGAATTCAAAGATTGTGTAATTAAGACTGGAATTTCAGTAAATATATTTTCAAATATAGTAGCAACTTCAAGATCTGATGTTACTTTTTTATTATAAATGTTTTAATTAAAATTTATATTCCGGGATTTTTCACTTCCAGTTTTACTATTTATGATATTCCACGTCATTTTAACTTTATCTTTACTATTTTTAATTTTTGCATTTAAATAATTAAATTTGGCTAAACGACACATTTTTTAAAATAATTTAGAGTAATTTCGTATATATTCTTTGAAGTCCTCACTTGTGTTATTATAATTACGTTCATCGTATAGTTCATAGAACCTTTTTCTGCTTTTGTAGACACTAAAAGTTATAGGATTACTTAATTTTTGGCTGTTATAGAAAAAAAATATGATAGCGAAATAGCTATTTGTCTCTTATAATAATTGGAAAGATAATATTTATCTTTAGTCAAATAAAATTTTCTAACATTCTACTTGTTAGTGTCAATGACATGAAACTTTGCAGTATTGCATATAGTGTGCAATGTCATATTCAGTTTGTATCGCAAATTATTTTCTTTACTGGACAAACTATTGCAATACGGCAACGTAAAAATCACGACTTTCCTAACACTTAATGAATTTAATTCGTTTATATATTCCATTAATTTATGTTTGTTCAAAGTACCTCTATTGCCAATAAAAAACAATAAAGTGGTATTTTCACTGTAGTTTTGTTTAATTGCTTTTTCCAAAATATCACTAAAAGAGGAATAAGGCATACAGAAGTTTAATGTTGAATGGCCCTTATCGAATAGCAGACGGCCCGGCATTTTTGCCAATTTCATCACTGAACATTAAAATATTATTTTTATAATTTTGTGAATTTATTGAGTGACGTTGGGAAAATTGTGATGGAGAGCAGTCATCAGTAACAGATGACTGAACAGGTATCTGAGTAAACAGTTGTGACTGGTGAGCAGATGACTGACAGGGTTAAAAAATAAATGATGGTCGAATAAATGAAGAAGTAAAAAATTATAGTAATGTGAACAATGGCAAAAGTTTTGAAAGTGGTTTTAATTTTGATAACGTTATACAACATGAAGAAAATGAAGAAGTTTTTGATAATGAACATATGGAAGAAGATTGGAGTCGAGAGGTAGTGAATATTGAAAAAGATCAAAGTCGAAAGAATGTAGAGAATGAATTAGAAAATAGAAAAAGTTGTGAAGAAATTGAAGGAAGCGGTGGAAAATAATAGTAGAAGAAAACAAACTGAAAGAGATAGAAGATAACCAGAAAAATACAAAGATTATATAATGGAATGGAAACGTCTAAAGTTTTATAAGGGAGTTTTTATTGGTTAATAATGATTCTCTATTATTATTCATTTAAGGGGGTGAGAAAAAAATGAAGTTTTAAAATAATTAAAAAAAACTAAATGAATCATTATATAATGGCGATGGAAGAGTTTGAAACTAGTTCTTAAAAAATTTACAAATATTTGGAGAGTGTTGGTGTTAAGTTTTGTTATCATGTTTGTTTGTATTATTTATCATGTTTGTGTTTATTATTATTTTTTAAAAACTAATGTATTTGATAGAGTTGGTATAGAATATGAGTTTAAATTATATTAGTAGACATTCTGTATTATCGCAATGAGGTAGTAGGGTAAGTAGTGTGTTTAATTTTTTGTATTGAAAGAAGTTAGGAATAATAAGGTTGGATCGAGTAGGAGTTAATTGTTTGAGGTTTTTATGATAAGTTGGATCGAGTAGGAGTTAATTGTTTGAAGTTTTTTATGATAAAGTAAGTCGAGTAGGAGATGAGTTAGCTGAATGATTTTTTATAGTTGAAGTTTTGTGGTAAACAAAGTCGAGAAAAAGATAAGAAAGTTTGTTTTAAGATGTTAGGTTTAGAGACAGTTAGAGATTTATATACGTGTAATGTAAAGGGGTATACAGGAGATAATAGAGGTTAGGTAAAATGGATCTGTGAGGTAGGGAATAAGAAATATATATCTACGGTAGGTTTGGTAGTTATTCTAAATTAATTTTTGTATTGTAATGGCAGGTAGAAGTGTAAGTTAGGATAGTCGGCATGTGCAACAGATTGAGGGGGTGTGTTGAGGGAGACCTCCTGGTTTAAGGTCTTCCTAATTAATTTAAATTTAAATATTGACATTTTGACAATCTGTTCTACACATGCGCGTCTATTGTTATATTATATATTGAAAGTCAACTCTTCGTAAAGCTATTGTCGGTGCTGTTTGTATTTTATAAAGTATGTCGGCGGGTACTCAGAAGAGGCTATTACGAAGCCCAAATAGATCGTCCATATCGAAGGACTATCTTTAAAATAACACTGCAGGCGTGTATACCAACGTGAATTTGTTCCATTTTATTTCTTTTCATACGAAAATATAACGAGATGAGCGTGATGTCGTCTGATGTCTTTACTCCTCGGCGTTCCGAAACAGAATGTGTGCCAAAATGGCGGCAATTTGCTTTTGATAACGAACTGTCAAAGTCAGTGTCACCATTCTAATAAAATTAAAAGTATCGATGATCACGCTCTCTTTACAATCGAGTAATTAAGTAATCGAGTAACTAGCAATTAAAATAAAAGAAACTAAATCAAACGATCTTCGTAATGATGATGTGACAAGTATATATTTTTGGTGTTAAATAAACTCATGTGATCTAAAGGCTCCCTGGTATTTCTCTATACCCTTTTTACAATCGGGTATCATAATTCTTTTTCTAAAAGAAAACGCATTTAAACATTTTTCGTTGACATGGATATGTTAAATATTCGAGTAATTATGAGTATGAGTACCGTCATGGCAGCAAAGTGGCACAAGCGGCGCGGAACATTAACGATGTTTACAGAGCGAACACTACAAACGAACCCACGACCCGTAGTTGGTTAGCCCGCTTCCGTTCTGAAAATTTTGACTTGAAAAATGAACTCTGTGGTCGTCCTAAAATCGTCGTTGATAATGACGAATTAAGCGATCGTGGAAACTGATGAAACTCAATCTACGGCTGAATTAGCAGCAGATTTTGACGTTAGAATCATAACAATATTGGTCCATTTGCATCAATTGCCAAGGTAAAAAATCTTGACAAATGGGTGCCACGAACTTATGATCGCCAGCGCGAAGTACGCGACTAGACGTACCTTGCACTTCTCAACGGGCAATCAAATGAAGGAATTCTGAACTGCTTTGTTACATGTGACTAGAAATGGGTCCTGTTCAACAATCGAAAGCGCTCAGCAAGTTGGTTGGACCCTGCTTCAGCACCCAAACAATGCCCTAAATGAAAATTTATTCCTAGAAAAGAGATGGTCACTGTTTGGTGGATTGACGCGAGTGTAATTCATCACAGCTTCTTACCAAACGGGACCAGCATTACTGCAGATGTGAACTATAAAGAATCGAACACAATGATGGAGAAGCACGCACGTCGCTAACCAGCTTTAGTCAATCGTTCGGTTCCACTGCCTCTGCACGACAACGCGCGGCCTCATACTGCACAGCAGACGATCTCTAAGAAACAAAAGCCGGGGTTGGAAGTAAGAATATTAAAAAAATAAGTATAAGAATTGTTAAAAAAAAGAAAGCTCTAAAAAGATTTTCTGGTCCTTTTATCTACGATTAATATATTAAAAACTGGTACCGTAGGGACATCTAGTTTAATTTCGGGAACTAAAGTTTTCTTTAATACTTCTTCATTCAATTAGAACAATAGGGTTGGCGACTAATTTTTGTTTGTGTGTCCGTCAGGCAGCTTATTAGAGAATATTAAATACGTATTTTTTTGTGTAATCATTAAATTACGGCGATATATAGAGTTGAATAGTTACATGACGTCACGCTTTTATACATTTAGCGTTCAAATATTTATGTTAAATGTAGTTAGAATGTTAAATACCTTATAATACATTGGGAATATCAATTTAATTTTATTCGATGTCGATATTGCAGTTTATTCGATATCGATATTTTAGGTGAATCAATATTTATCGGTTTTTTAAATGTATTGTGCATCCTTAAGTAGGGATGGGCAAATGGGGAAAAAATATCGAATCAATATTTTTCAAATGTATCGATTAATATCGTCAAAAATATATCGATTTATTGATATATCGATATTTTCTGCGTATTAAGCGATTATCAATGATAATTTCAAAATATTCGAAATTTTGAAGCAACTACACACCTGGCTGTTTTGAGATCAGATTTATTATTTAAAATAGGCACATAAAGCTAAGAAAACAACATTATTAACAAAACCAAAATTAGATTGTTCAAACAAACATGCATTTCTCTGATATTGTCATCAGGAGCACACTCAGTGATACCAACTAAACCAACAAGCAGTGTCACTGTCAAATGAAAAGACAAACAAAAAACACAAACAGGTCATAGACTAAACTCATACAGCCTACTGTACACCTACTCTTTTTCTAAATTTAAGAAATACATGATGTGACGCATGTGCAGACAGCAGAAATAAAAAAAATATATCGAATTTGATACGAATTAATATATCGGCTTTCGAAATAAATATCGAAAGCCGATATATCGCGGGAAAAATATATCGCTTATTTATATCGATATTTTTTTCTAAAAAAAAACTAATTTGATATATCGATAGTTTTTGCCCATTCCTATCCTTAAGTTTTTTGTCCGGCTGACGCATCGTGGGACTGTGGGACGCGTAATTCGCGCCGTCTATTTTATTTGTTTTCACTCGTAAATTTATGTAGGTATCATTGTAAAATAATTGATCTATAATTTGCTAATTTAAAAAGTTGCAATTGTTTTAGAAAATGTCTGGCATAGCGAGTGCGCGTTTAGCCGAAGAGAGAAAAGCTTGGCGCAAGGACCATCCTTTTGTAAGTGCTGCACACACAATGCTGATTAATGCCGAGGTTACAGCATTTATGAGAAAAATAGATAATGCTTATTTAAAATTTTAGGGTTTTGTTGCTCGACCTATGAAAAATCCCGATGGATCACTTAATTTGATGACATGGGAGTGTGCTATTCCGGGAAAAAAGGGGGTTAGTACCTGCATGATTTGCCTAGTTTTTGATACAACATATGTTCTTAGTCGATTCTGGATTGTGGTATTCATTGTCATTTATTATAAATGTTTTTAAATTATTTCATTACTGTTTTGCAGACACCATGGGAAGGTGGACTATACAAACTGCGTATGATTTTTAAAGATGATTACCCCTCGAGCCCACCAAAATGTAAATTTGAACCCCCTTTATTTCACCCAAATGTATATCCATCTGGGACAGTATGTCTATCATTGTTAGATGAGGAAAAGGACTGGCGTCCAGCTATAACAATCAAGCAAATTTTGCTTGGAATTCAAGATCTCCTGAATGAACCTAATGTAAAAGATCCTGCTCAAGCTGAAGCTTATACAATCTATTGGTATGTTTTTTTTCTTTTAGATAATTACAATACAATACAAAATTCTTTGTACACACCATTGTTCACAAATTGTTTAGTGAATGAATGGAATTTGATGTGACTTTATTAATTTTATAGAAAAACCTTCAGGGTTTTATACTTATGTTAAAATATCCCAGGTTGCTTTAAAATATAGTATACTTTGATAGTTTCATAAATTTAATTGTTGTACTTTTGAAATGAATTTTTCAAATATTTAAGACTTAAATTAACATAAAACCCAGTGTCATTTACCCAATTGCCAAAAAGGGGGTGACCTTTCATATAGTAATATGATCAGTTATTTAATTTGTAACTATGAACATTGTTACTGTTTTAGTTTTTGATTTGAAGTGTTTCAATTGAATAATGTATAATGGTGATTATCAAACATAATTTTGCCCTTTTTGAAAATTAAATGTTTTGTTAATTAAATTTATATTGCAAGATAAAATAAGACAATATGTTTTGCTTGTGTTTATTAATAATGATGCATACATTTTCTGCTTTATCTTTGATTACTTGACCAACAAAAACCTATGCTTTCATGGAACCCCAGTTTATGATTAACGGAGCTGTACAGTTCTGTTATATATTATCTATTCTTAAATTATTTATAACTATATATTTACACTTCTGCACATACATCTTAATTTTATTAGTTCATTTTATTTAATAACTAATAATTTATTTTCAGTCAAAATCGGCTAGAATATGATAAACGAGTTCGAGCACAGGCCCGTGCCATGGCTGCAACTGAGTAAATCTTTAATCTGCACACCAGGCCACTTTAATAACCAGTTTTATCTTGCTGTGTGGCAGGAGGCTGGACCCACAACATGCTATGGATACAATTCTAGCAAAACTGAAAAATGTGGGCATTATTATATGGTTAATATTAAACCTTTATACATAAATGCCATTAATAGCTTACAGTACTTTTTTATGACTACCAATGACCCAGACCCAGGGAGTATTAGAGGAATTTTTAAACTTTCTAAAAAGAACTATGTCTTACGAAGTATTGTTAAATATCTAGTATTATGATTTGAATATCTTTGCATACTGGTTTGTGCTAAAAGATCAAAGAAACAAAGTTACTGTTTATATTATTATATATTTGATAAAGTCACTGTACTTCTGCCACACAAAGGTGTAAGTTTGGCCCAACATTGTTTATTGAGTTAATCAGTGAGATAAGAAAAATCATTTTGACTCTGTGATTAAATCGATAACTGCATATACATACATGTAATTTTAAATTTAGAGATTCCAATTAATGTATTTCAAAACATCCACAAGAGCCAGTAATTGCTATTTACTGTTCACTCAATAAATTTAAGTTCTATCATAATCCTATAAAGATTACTTCTCATTTTATTATTTTGAAAAACTTAGCTATCTCTTTAAAATGGGGCTAAGGCTAAGTCCAGTGTATGAGCTCTTTTAAGTGATGTTTTTCTAAATTTATTTTTAGCTTACCTTAAGTTACACAGAATTCAATATTTTAATTTAAACCTCAATGTTTTTTATAAGAACATGATATTTGTATGTGTACTTATAAAAGTTAGAAGGTGCATACTTTTATTATTGATGAATTTTCTGACCAATTGTAAAGTACTTTTAAAAAACATTAACAAGGCATTTACAACTTGATTAATAGGTACCTAATACTAATGATGTTACACATTCAAAACCTTACAGGTATGGAAATCTGACAAATTTGTCTGCTTAATTTTAAACCTTAATAGATTGACAGTCAAGTTTAGACTTCCATGTAAAATTTGTGGTACCAAGTTAACTTAATATTTAATATTGTCAGATTTATCAACTTTAAGTTACAAATATGTAAAAAAGTGACAAAATGGATTTCAAGTTTGGGATATGTCAAAAATGAAAAAAGTAACAAGTGAGATAGTGCTAGTGCAAGTGAGATTCTTCTTCATGTTTCTCATTTTAAAACTTACATTTACATCACGTTTAAGAGCTCATAGAACAGACAGCCCCTGTAATGTATACTGTACCATCAATGACACATATCTATAGTCCATGTCCATGTTACATTTCATATGCTGCCTAGATTTCACATGACTAGTTATGTAATTAAAATGGTACTGTGATTTGTTTGTAACTATTAACTGCTCATTGTTTTATTTTTAAATATATAAATAGCTTTTCTTTCATTTTAGAGCTGAAATGACCACATAGCACTTTAGGTTACTTTTTTGTACTATGTTTCTGTAATCAGTTTTAAATTTTATTACTAATTGATTAAGGCTTAAAATAGATTAAAGATAGTTGGTCGGTTGTAGTAACCTATTGTGCTGACATCTGTACATTACGATTAATGGTAAAGTGCACATTATACTTACAACTATCGAATAGATGCTGAAGATGGATCTACTTCATAATTTAAATATTTTTATAACTTTATGTTTAGTCTTAAAAATAATAAATTACTGAAATCTAATTTATCTAATGTATTTTATTTTTTGCGAATTTATTTTTCAAGCTTCTCTAATGAGTTTGTGTGTTAGAGTGTTAGGGGGGGCGCCAAAGTAATTCTCTTTACAATATAGAAAGAACTAACTTTACAAATCTCTTCATGCACATTATAGGTTATGATGGGATCAAACCTATATTACTCCTCCATGGATGGGATGGACATGCTTTAAAATCCTTAAATCAATTAAAAAATATATATACACTGCAAAAATATGGTATTAGAAAACCCGGTTTCATCGAGCAGGAGGAAGGTTGCCATACGTAGTTTCAGCCCCGACAAAATTCGTAGATCCGTGGCTACACGCCGGTTTTATGGTATCGCCATCTCTGCGGTCCCGGGTTCGAACCCGGTCGGGTTAATGTAGAAAATGTACTTTACTGTATTGTCTCGGGTCTGGGTGTTGGGACGGGTTGGATGAGAAATTGGGACTAGCTTATAAATCAATATCAAATCGTAATTTCCTGTGACCGAATTGACCGGGAATTGTTGACTCATCTATAATCCCTTATATCTTATTTATCAATAATAGGTATAAGGGATAAACGAGTCTTTCTGGCGATGCTGGCCTAATCTGGCGTCAGTTAAGTATTTATAACAATACAAGTACATATTCATTAAAATAATCGATACGTATTCGATATTTTATGAAAGGATCTATTTCAGAATGAGGAGGTATTAAAAAAACCATTAGGTCCCGAAATAAACTAGACGTCGCTACGACACGTTCTTGATTCTCCATGACAATCTTTCCGGTTTTCTTTCATGTTTAAAATAAATTAGTTTTCAAAACTCAATAAACAACTCATATTCTATTTCTACATTTTCGGATTTGTATTGATATCTAAGTTTCGAACTTTTCAAATTTCAATTTTTTAATATGTTAGTTAAAAGGAACGAAAATGACTGTCTTTGGTCCATTCGATTCCTGCAAAAATAAACTTTTGCTAGAGTCGCCATCTAGTGGAGGTGCCTTTTTAGTGCTTTCGTTTTTTTTAATATGTACTCAGTGGCGTAGCTACCAAGGGGCTAGGCAGGGCAGTGCCCCGGGGCCCTAAAGCTCAAGGGGCCCTCGAATCTTTACCAGAAAATTTCAATCGAACTCAACTTTTGAAAATTTCTCGCATTTTCAAAATAAATATGACAAGTGACAACCTGAGTTTAATCATGGCAACTCAGTTGTGAGAAATTCCAAAGTTATAAAAAGGGAATTCCCCTAAATTATTTGTGTGGGTTGATAGAGTTATTAATGTTTTCATCAATTTGTCGGATATCAATATCTGCATATTATTATTTATCGATATGCGTTTTTGTGATTCGCGATTGTGAACTTCGGGTCAAGATTTTTTTTCGAGAATGGTTAAAAAGTTAATGTATCAGGAGTTAGAAAGCGTATGTCACGTATGGGATTCCCCAACGACGTCTTGTATCGTATCATTACGTTTCGCTTTCTTTTTACTTGTAACGTTGTCAGTGAACAGTGAGTACCTACTTGAGTACAATCTTACATAAATATTGCATAAATAAATTAGACAACTAATATTATGGACAAAAAAAAAAAAACCCAGTGGCGCATTTAAACGCAAACAACGCCAAGAAAGTGAAGAAAGTAAACAAAAATGCCCCAAAATTGACAAGTTTTTTAGTCAGTCTTCTACAAGTATTCTGGACAAAATATTTCTCTTGATATTTTTGGTAAATAGCTTGCATGGCGATAGGTTAAATAACAGTAAGCTGGTGCAACGTATGTATGAATAAATAAATATATAATAAACCCTTCAATCTTTTCTGTTTCGTTTTATTGCCCAATACCTACACCAAGTATAAAAATAATTGAAATTGATGTTGTTAGTGTTTAATAGTTTTATTTCCTGCCCATGCACGAAAAAGAGTTGATGATAAAGTTGCTTAGCATTTTTAAAGTATTTGTATATTTAATGATTTTACTTCAAAAAACCTTACCAGTTTTGATAGCAGTGGGCCCAATTTTTAATTTGCCCCAGGGCCCTAGGTTACCTAGCTACGCCACTGACTGTACTTCCTCATTATTAATAACTGCAATTTTGAATCTTTGAAATTATTTTAAAATATCTATCTCATGTCCTGTATTTACATAATATCAGTTTTTTTATGTTTCACCTAATAACATTAATATTTTCGAAACGAAAGTTCATTGACCTATTTTTTTGTCAAACAATATGTCAAAGTCATGCATATGTCAATGTCATTAACTAAAGTAACTCAATCCGGTTCGGAGTTTTGCTGTGGACTTTTGGTTGGGTGTGCTTGATTAATTAATCCCCTTTGTTATTTCCTAATGTGTATAATTTAAATTTTGTTTGTATTAATATTATAGTTTGTGTCTAATTTCTATAAAATTATTTAAGAGTCAATGAAGTGAACGTTAGAAACGATGGCTGATGACGAACAAGATCCAAAAGAATATAGATGGGAGACTGGTTATGAGAAAACATGGTTAGTTTAAAAAAATTTTCACGTTGATATAAATATAAAATAAAAATAAAAGCTATACTACCTATACTTTAATTTCTCTGAGTCCTGTGCCCAACTCACTTCACAAGGACCTGTCTAAAGTGTCTTACCGGGAAACCTGTAAGCGTAAGGGGATATTAAATTCAAATACCAACTTTCAATGTTTACTATTTTTCCTAAATTACGTAATATATTTATGTTTATGTCTTTTTTTTTTTAAACTAATTGTTTGCTTACATGATTGATTGACTGATATTGAATTTTTCTATATTTTCTATCTTGAATGAAATTTGTGTTTCCAGGTTTAATTGGTTCCCAAGCAACAGATTATGGAATGGGATGATGAATCATATTCATTGTTAAAATAAGGCTCAAGTAGATTATAAAGAAATAATATAAATTAGTTTAGTGGTTAAACAGCTTTTACTATTCCTATGTTAATTCAGGAACTCGAACAAAATTCAGCTTAATTTTTAACCAATTTTGTTATATCCTAATTTTATTGAAAGGATATATTTGTAATGTGGTCCCTTAAAAGTTGCATCTGTATTTTTATGTAAAACTCAAAAATTGCAGTAAATTTCCCTTTAATTTGTGTATGATTAAGGATAGTGTAATCTGAAAATATAACCAACTCCAGAAAATGGAAAGTAGTTTATGAATTCAAAATACTTAATCATAGTGTTTCTCTAAATAACTTCTTTTGAACTTACTAAAAATAGCATATTATAGTGTATAAAATTTTCTATAAATAAAGTTTATATGATTTTTTAGGAAAGAGTAGTGTACTCATTTAATGTTCATTATTTTCTCAATAGGGAAGCTATCAAAGAAGACGAAGATGGTTTGGTGGAAGGTCTTGTTGCACAATTTGCCCAAAAAGCAGCTCGGAAAACAATTGCACAAAAACGTGGGCCAGTGCGATTGGGGATGATGAGACACTTGTTAGTTGCCGTTGATTGCTCTGAAGCTATGAATTCACAAGATTTAAAGCCTTCAAGGTTTATATGTACACTTAAGGTATATCATCATAGACCCTGTCCTACAACTGAATTTCAGGTTTTTGTTATAGGTTTGTAAAATAAATTTGAAGACACTAATTTGGAAAATATTGTGCTTTCAAAACTTGAATAAATTAGGGAACATATATTATAAAAAATTACTAAAATACATATGGCAATAAATTGTTTACATATAACGTAACAACTTTTATTATAAGAGCTATAAACAAATATGCACAAATAACAAAAATATTACATAGATTGGCCAGACGCTCATACATTTTTTGCTACCGTAGGTGCTACGGTGAGAAGCAGTTCCACAAACAGCATCATTTCTCCAAAACTTAATTGCAGACATGCTGTTATTGGTTCCCTTGTAATAACTACCACCATTCCCTCATATTTGATAAATCTGCTTTCTCTTGTGGAAAAAAAATTAAGAAATCTGCTATTAATATGAATACAATACAAAGTTTTTGTCAGTCATTTGAATTTATCTTTTAATAGTTCAAAAAATAAAGACCAAATATATTTTATATTATCGTTGCAATGACTACAGTGATTTATTTATGTTATATATGTCATAATGTATTTTTTGTTATAATGTATAATAAACTTCCCCTTGGTATAATTAACATGAATAATGACAAATTCGAAAGAACAATAAAAAAATGAAATTAAAATTTTAAAAATTTTATTACACCTTTTTGTTGGATATAAGATGTTTTGTCATTAATTGCTTGGGTATTCTTGAATCTTACGATAAATAGAGAGTGTTTAATTATGATATCTTGTGATAATACATAGGCAGATATTAAGTTTAGCACCATATTTGTTTTAATAAAACTCCTTAGTAATGATATTTGTATGTTGTTAAATAAAGATGTTAATAATATAACTGTTTTTATATTATACAGATTTTTAAAATATAACTTTAAATTTAATTTTCAGCTCCTTGAGAAATTTGTTGAAGAATTCTTTGATCAGAATCCGTTAAGTCAGTTAAGTATCATAGCCATGAAAAACAAGAGGGCTGAGAAAATTACAGAATTATCAGGGAATGTTAGAAAACACATAAAGTCTGTCCAAGGGTAAGTTTGGTATTGTAATCATAATTAATTTATTTTTTAGATTATTGTTGCCGGCAGGATGTGGTATTTGTGGCTTAGGATAGAATAAAAGCAAAATATGTGAGGAAAAACAAAACAATAGAGTTCTATCCTCTAGCTAAACTGTCAAACTAAAGAAATAAATTATTGTTATTTTAGGTTGACGAACATGGCTTTGACTGGTGAACCATCCTTACAAAATACTTTGGAGTTAGCTGGCAGAGTACTCAGGCCACTGCCAGGGCATGCTTCAAGGGAATTGCTTGTTTTGTTTGCATCCCTTACTTCATGTGACCCAGGAGATATAAATACTTCAATACAGGTATAACTAGTGATATAGATTAAAAATAAACAAAAAATCTTGTGACATATTTTGTAATATTATTACAAAATATGTCACTAGAGCTATGTTTGTAATGTTGCAGGCGTTAAAAACTGATGGCATAAGATGTTCTGTGATCGGATTGGCAGCTGAAGTTAGAATTTGTAAGAAACTATGCCAAGACACTGGTGGTGAGTATAATGTGAGTTGGTTTTATTTTACTATATTCTATTACAGGATGGGTCGATGCAGACAGGGGACACCCTTACGAGGTATTGGTCGCGTAAAATAGCCATATATATTTATTCTTAATGAAAAATGCTTCAAAAATCCACTTTGTCCCTGGCACTCTGAGATGGGATCTGAACCCATGACCTAAAGCAATTTTTTTCGGTCCTCAAATAAAATAAAAATCCAGGCAAACTAAATGTACATCTTGACTTACTAACTGCTCTAAATGTATATAAAAACTTAGAATGCATGGTATCATCAAAATGAATAATATTTTTCACAAAAGCGTAACAAGACATATCTATCTATTGTTGTTATGCATGTATCTGTGGCCTTAATACAACGTGGGCCTTAATTGCCCCTGGTATTTGAGTCTCTCTCTCTCTCTGTGTGTGTGTGAAATAGTAAAAATTACATGTGAAATTATTAAAAAAGAGCATTGTATTTTATCTTCTTCCCAAGACTTTTCGCAATCCGGGCGACTGCAGTCGTCGAAAAGGATTGCGGAAGGTATTTGAGTACCACCTCGGGGTTCCCGGTGCTGGTGGATTTTTAATCATCTCAATTTTTTACTAAAATATTTATCGGTATAGCAATTGTGATTTCAAAATTGATAAAATAAAGAGCATTATTTTTCATCAATATCAGGTGGTGTTGGATGACGTCCATTATAGATCGTTATTGTTGGAGCACACGTCGCCTCCGCCGCGTGCTCGCTCGCTGGACGCTGGTCTCGTTAAAATGGGTTTTCCTCACAGCGCTCCCCCCACTACACAATCAGATGCTAGCGCTAACGCAGACCCACCAATTACTGTATGCATGTGGTAAGTCCGAAACAATTTTTATTACTTTCTAGAATTCCGTATCTTAATGGGGAAAGCTGCACTGTTGTAATATCATCCGCTTATCTATTGGTATGGTTCATAAATTTCTAATTAATTATATTTATATTTATATTATATATATATATATATATATATTTCAATTTTTATGTTATTATTTGCACTAATTTTCTTTTCTTTTCGTCAAATAGTATTAATAAATAATGCAGCACTAGCAAGTTAGTGCTATTTTCTACGTTTCGTGATGGCTACGAAGGCTACGCGATTGTGTATTGTAATGTACAATCACAACATAACGAATCGTGTAGCCTGACGAAGTGACAGATATGTCTGTCACCGTCTCGATTTCCTGCTTCCAGTAACCACGATTCAAATCAACTATTAATGATTTAACTGTATTTATAAACTGTATTTATAAATGGTTCCGTGGGGGGAGTGCATGTAGGCGATTTATATGGTTGCTAGCATCCGCATGCGATTTCCATCGACCAATGTAGTTGAGCTATTAGGTTTAAGCAGCTGCAGTTCCTGTCTGGATATTCTGGTTCGGTTTTTGATAAGACAGCTATAGGTTTTTAATACTAGTTATATAATAAAATAATATATTATAACAGCCACTTGGAGGAAGGCGAAGGCGTCGGTGGTGAAGGTCACTTCTGTCCGCAGTGTCGCAGCAAATACTGTTCGCTGCCAGCACAGTGTAGAACATGCGGATTAACTCTCGCTTCAGCACCACATTTAGCCAGGTATGTTAATATTACCAGGCTATAGTTAGTACTTTTGTCAATTTGATCTTGCAACCGCTATAATAAACGACTTCACGGACGTTCAATGACAGAACCATTTAAGCGCCAAATACAAGAGTGAAAATATTTTATTTTATCTCTTCATAAAACTGGATTTAATCATGCAAAAGTTTTTAGGTATCTAATGAATAGACTGAGAGACTTGAAATAAATAGTCAAAAACCGTATCACTGGAGGCGAGGCGGTGGGTTAAGTGCCGGGTGACTTTTGTCGTTTGAAAGAGTTACTAGTTTGTAAGCTTTTTGTAAGGTACTGTCGCCTAATAAGGCGCATTGGTTTTGACTAACTAGAATACGTCTTAATTACAGACTCGCACCGACTGATCAGGAAAGACAGAAGAATGTAATTTAAACATATTTCAGTTAAATTTTAAATTAAAGAATAGTGGGCCTTATTAGACTATGTTACCTTATCTAAATTAGTAAAAAATATGTCTTGAAAATGTTTATATATTTTTGTATCAGATCATATCATCACTTGTTTCCCGTGGAACCGTATGAGGAGATACCGAATGATGGCCAAGCGCAGTACTGCTTTGGTTGCCTGCGTTCCTTCACAGACCTCGATAAACAAGTATGATTTTAAGTTCATAAAACATTAGTACACACTACATCAAACTACCATACTATTCAAATGAATGTTTTTTTGCCATTTGAACTTATTTTACAGTTAAAGGATTGAAATAAATTGGACAAATTTGACAGATAATGTCTGTTGCAATAACAATTTGACTAAATTCTGGTTTAGTCCTATCAAAGCACATTTTCAATCGGTGAAATAGCTAAGATAACAAAAGTAAACTTACATCTAGTTACACAAAACGTTCATTAAGGATTAATGACGTCTTGAAGCTCTAATGAATGTTCAGGATTTGAAAATATGTCTCGGTAAAGTCGCTTTACACAAAAGACGGTTATAATGGATATTCGTACAACGGACATTTAGTGTTATGTTGTTACGAACCCCGAAGTTCCAATAAATCAACTCCGTTTATTATTATGTATTGGGTTTTTACTTTGCCAATTCGAATGTGTTTATGCCCCTGGTTCGATTCTCGGTTTTGTTTTAATATATGTAACGAATTTTTTAGTTTCAGGTTTCTATTCAATCGGTCAGTTGCACAAACGTCCATTAAGGTTTAAGCTCTAATTATTGTTCTAAACTTGGAAATCGGCATTGGTAATGCCCCTTTAAACTAATGACAATTTTAATGTATGATTGTGCAACATGGTCTTGGTCTGATAAAAATCAGAGCAATGTGATATTGTACTATATTACATATGTTATTATTTATAGATATATCAATGCAAGCGGTGCCATTCGCACTACTGTTGGGAGTGTGAGGGCGTAGTAGGCACTACACTACACGTGTGCCCCGGCTGCGCTTCACGTCCCCATCTCTACCAGCGGCTACCCGATGCTTCGTGACACACAACAAATAAATTTCTACTGACTTTCTCGTGTTTCATTTAAAACTATCTGTTTTCCACTGACTTTACCCGCACAACTTATAGCCTTAGTTGCCTGTAGTTGAAAGAATCTTCAGGATCGGATCACTTTATCGGAAAAGAACCCTACCAACAAATAAACGGATCCTTAACCTTCCATAAAAACGCTACGATACGGTATTTTTATATTAGGAAAATAGTTTATAAACAAAATGACATTTGCTTCAATAATTAATAGGCCCCTGAGCACCTGGCCCTACAAATTCACGATCCGCCCCTGAGTATAGATGTTGAGAATTATTTATCCTTGAAGATGATATTTTCTTATTGGAGACAAGAGCAATGTTTTATACTTAAGTCTGTAAGCCAGGCCTCGAGACTATTCGACAAGGCAGAGATAGAAGATCGCGGTGTGTTACATGTCTAATTATACCCAACGTTAAAGTAGACATAAAGGTATGATAAACAATTTTCGATATTTAGTTTTTTTAATCTATCATACCAAAAACACTATATCGTCATATTATCATAAAACGAGTACTGAAGTTGGTACTTTGCTTAAACAATTGGTCGACTAAAGTAAAGTAAAAAATTGAGAATGAGATAAAACGTAAAATTGAGACGTGTTGACTTATTGTGATCGGATAATGGTTATCTTTAGTGTGCGATAGGTATAGCACCGTGTCTCGCTAGACGCGCATCGAACACCAAGTGTACCTGGTACATATTAAAGTTAGCCTTCGTTTTATAATAAGGCGGGTATTTTATACCCGAGTAAAGAGAAACTGATGGAATTTTTTTTTTTTTTTTTTGTAATTGAATGTGATAATTTTATACAAGACATTAAAATCAACAACTAATATCTATTATTTTATATTGCAAAACTACTGCGTTACCGTGATTTGGGTGGACTGAGGGTTAAAATTATTTTTAATCATTCTAATCTCATAAATTTTATTTAAAAATTTAAAATTTAAAGTTGCAATTTAACTATAAAACAAGAAATGAAAGCGCCGTTGACGATTTCGTTAAATAATAGTAAACATGCAATTATTCCTGTATCGTCACTACATAGTATAAAACAAATAATAATAATTGTTTATTTGCCTTAAACATGGTATAGAGGTTAAATTTGTACAATATCCTCATGTTTCGCCATTTTTAAATAGCATGCAAAAACAGTATAATCGAATCTAATACAGCCAGAATAAAAATAACCTAAACAATAATCACCATAATAATAATCAAATTATTAAATTCTTATTATGTTGAAATTCATTGGCTTTACATGTCGTAGTTAAAAAAATAAAATTACAATTTGTATAAAATAAAAATATTTTAAAAAGTCAATATAATTTTCTAATTACATTTGTTCAAAAATTCGCTATTACTATAAAAAATATTACAATTGAGCCAGGCTTATAATTTTCTTTTGGGGGCGTCCATAAATTACGTGAGATGTTTAAGGGGGGGGAGGGGGTCTAGGCAAATCTAATCTAATCTTACATTTGAGAGGGGGGGTCTCGGCAAATATCACGCAATTTTTTTTTCTGATTGAAATAAAAAAATATATACTATTTTGGTCCATTTAATCCAGATTGTACATGCTTAAGATTTAATCTTGAGCGTAATCGTATACGATTAAGATCATTCACTTATTCGTTCAAAAGAAAATAATTTCATTCATACTTCGACGCTATACATCTACTGAATGTCAAACCACCATATTTGTAGGGTTCGAACGATACTTTCGATACCGAGTAAGTATCGATACTTTCGAAAGCGATACTCGATACTACAACAAGGCAAATACTCGCAAGTACTCATCAAATTGCATTTTGAAAAATCTCACGTGAGATTGGGGGATGGGGGAGGGGGTTGAATAAAATCTCACGATATCTCACCAGAGGGGGAGGGAGGGACAGAAAATTTAAAAAACACCTCACGTAATTTATGGACGTCCCCTTTAATCAATCCAGCCGGTATTACTATTGATGAAAATCCAAATTTTCATCAATAGTAATACCTAAGAATTGTGTATGTGGTACTTTATTAATGTTTAGAGTAAAATTATATTTAGTGTGTTTTGATTGGTTGAATTGAACAAAAACTGATTTCTTCAAATTTATTGTCAAATTGTTGTTTTCTTGCCATTTTATTACCTTGTCACCAGTATTATTTATATCAAATTCAGATTCAAAATTGAATTAATATTTACTTTGTTTGAGGTCACTATTATTGAAATGTCATTAGTATACAAAATGCATTTATGTTTTGTCACGTTAATGAAGTCATTGATATGTAGCAAAAATAAAATAGGACCCAAAATACTTCCCTGGGAACGCCTTTTTTTGCACCTTTTTTAGCGCGCGCAAAGTCGTTTTCTCTGTCCCTATGTCGATAATTATGCTTAAATCTTTAAAACTATGCAACGGATTTTGATGCGGTTTTTTTTTTCATAGATAGTAATACAATCAAGCTAGTTAGTAATGAATGAAATATGGTTTGAAGATCGAAATTAGTATTATTCTGAGGATTTTGTGTGTAGGTATTACTTACAATATAAAATAGAAAACTTTGATACCTTGCATGCCTATGTTTTTTAATGTAATTAATCTCCGTCGGAACTCATAATCACGACTGATTTTTTTATTTTATTAGTTCGATTGCAGTTGAATGCAGCACGCCTAAAGTAGCCAAGGGGTAAATCATTATTTTGTAGTCATTGTATTTAGAAAATACTTGCACAAATAATAATAATACCAAAAACAATCAGAATGGTTTTTCACTTTACAATAGGTATACTTATGTAATGTGATGTTAGTTTCAACATTTGTTTATTGTTTTATCGATACCTATACAAATTATGATTTAGATTTAATTGAAATTAAAAAAAAAACATTTATTTTACTTATTTCTTGTGTATAAATCATGATAACAGTTTTCATATTAATGCAATGGAAAGAAATACAAACATGGTATGGTATGACAGATGACAAAGCTCGCAATGTTTTTACTTTTGGCCACCATGAGCGCTGCAATAGATTCCGTTACCCTCATCTAGTACTTTGCACTCCGCCAATACTTCCCATATAATCGTTTTTTCAGTAAGAATAGGATAACCATAAAATGTCAAGAAAACTATTACTTATATAATAAACCAGTAACTTAAATGTAGTGGGTTAAAAAAGATAATTAAACTACACAATAACATTATATTCATTTATTTTCAAAAACATTTAACACATTTTGTAAAATTTTGCTAAGTAGATACATTAAATAGAAAAATATCTTTAAATACAGTACATGGTCTAAAAAGCACCTACATTATGTACGTACACCGCGGCCAAAAATCACAGATCATATCTCTTAGGATATAATATTCACAAAAAATATAATATTATAAATCAAATATTACTTAGCACTTCATTAAAATTTACTTAAACTCTAACATAAAATACTTTTGATGTAAGTATAATTTTATTCTAAATGCAATATGAATTCATTCGTCGCTCATTTACATAAAACATCACAGTGCTTTTTTTGTTACATAAACTTTTGGTCTTTCAAGCCGTCATGGCAAGAGCATATTAAAATTTATTCCACTTTAGGTATTTATTAACTAACGTCCATCCACACTTCGGTAGCGTCATTATCTTAGATTTGATTCGTTTTAACACCAATGTATTATTCTATGACATAAAAGAATCAAATTAAGTGCTACCGCATTGTAAGACTTATAGCACGGTGGCAGAACAGAGAGGTTCGTACGTTGACCTTTGTGCCTAATGAAAGAAATCGTTCGGATCGCTTTACTTACTTTATAACAAAATTGGCTAGATACATTTTTGCGAGCGCAGTAGCAAATTGTTTGCGAGCGAGTGAAAGAGATAGGTGTGAGGTCATTGTACGAAATTTCTTTTGTTCGGCGACCCTGCTTTACAACGAAATTTTCTAAATCAAATGCCTTAAGGTAAAAACTATAATCGAGATAAGTTTTAACACTACAATTTTAACAGTACGTTTATCAGCACACCAAGGTGTACAAAACTAAATTTTCTTTATTCACTTTAAAGCGCTCAAGTAACAAGTTCAAAGAATTTATATTTTCTTGTAACCTGACGTGCTGCTGTATGTACATAACAATTAGTTTTTAATGTTTAAAATGATACACTTTAACAGTAATGGATACGTGCAGAAAAAATAAAATTATAGACTGATTTTAGTTCGTACTACTTTGAATATCGTCGACCGACAGTCATTTTTCAACGTAGAAGTACCTACCAAAAGAAGTAAAAAAATATTTGTTTCACGCTTTCAAAGATAAAAATGTTTAAGTACCTACCTACAGACCATGGCTACAGGCACTCATACGAGTTTTATGTAAACTAAGTTCTAAATACAGCTAAATTTAATAAATGTCAAGATTCTTCAAGTAAGTATACTGCAGTCTTTCAAAACATAACTCTCGGCACCTATGGTAATGTTAGTTTTGATAAAAATGATAAAATATTTATTTATTCATGTAAGTGTAGAAGTGTGTTGTTCCTAATTATAAACAACTGAAGAAGTCGCTTATGGTAGTTGTATATGGTATTCAATAATAACGATGTATATCACATTAGGTTGTTCTCGAAAATATTTCCAGTTTGATTCAATTTTTGGGCTCGAACTCGGGGCTCGGAGATGTCCACGCCAAGACATTCAGTTCGTTTCTCCGGTATCGTTTATATATTTTTTGTTCATGGCTAACATTAGCGTCGTATTATTACACGTGCTTATGTTGCAAGCAATCTTCATACGGCATTTCTTTCTTCTGCTTTCTTACGTGTCACCCAGAGTATGTTGGGCTTTTGATAATACTGTTCTATTTGTAGTAAGGATTTTCCTTTAGTTTCTGGTAGCATTAAGTACAGAACTACTGTAGCGAGTGTAGACGATGCTCCAAACAAACCGAACACTCCCGCCATGCCAATAGCGTTTTTCATTACTGGATAAAGCTTAGTAAATCCAAATAAGACAGTGTTGAAAAGGCAGAAGATGTATCCTCCGCAGAGCCCTCGTATTTTGGTGGGGAGTAATTCACCTATCATGAGGCCGGGGAGGAGAAAGAAACCTAATGTGTTGAAGGCGACGTAGCTGAGGATGAGAGTGGGCGGTAGGAAACCGGTACCCTTTTCTTGTGATAGTATGAAGGCGAGAATAAGCGTAGTAAATGCTGTACCAGCCCCAGATATCATTACGAGCGCACGCCGAGTGATTTTAAGTAGCATTATACAAGCGATTACTGTGACTCCGAGTCTGACTAAGGCACTAGCGTTGGCTGCCATCTGTAATAAAGGATATCATTATTATAAGTTAACTAAAAATGTAAAGGACAACGTTCAAAACATACCACAATCGATATATTATAAAGGCTTCTTAAGGCAAATAAAGTAGTTACTTAATAGAAAAGGAAATAAGTCATAGAAAATAGCAAAGTTGTGTTTATTTTTTGTATAAGAAAATAATAACAAATTGCTTATTACCCTGATACTCTAGGCCTAAATTTAAAAAAGAAAATAGTTATTTTTACATTTATGACAGAAAATAAATTATATAAGCTGTGTTTTTAGGAAATCTCGTTCTTGACTCGTTTTTTGTTTATGCTTTGGACCTTTGGATTTAATGACCTTTTCAATTGTACTCATTTCATCTTATCTAAACATGAGCTAACCAGCTAATATTAGGTAAGAAAGCGGTAAAATGTTCGAGGGATAAATTAGTAAAAAAAAAATGGTTAACAGTAGACATACATTTGTTTTTAATCGAGTAGTGTTAGGAATAATATAGTACAACGTAGTTTAAAACTTTATCATAAATTATGAATTTAATATTCACTGAAAATTGCTTCGAAACCTGTTTAATCACTGAAATAACAAGAGATTATTCATACGCCCACATAAATCACATCAAAAGCTTATCATGAGAGACAAATAAGGCTGTTATTAACCGCCCACACTGATGTCTTCTAATTAGATGCTCAATTTTCTGTGCGCTCTCTATTAGAGTTTAGATAAAGTTCTTAATTACAATACTTATCTTGACTGAAACTTATATGAATAAGTTATTTTGAAGTAAGTGAAAATGATAAAATTTATAATACCGTTATTTAGCGTACTTTAAGAGATACCAGTCGAAAATTGTAAATGAAAAATTGATAAAATATAGTTTAAAGATCTATTTGAGTAAGTAAGCGTAGCACACTTCAACTCAATCTGTTTAGTAGTTTTGTTGTAAATTTGCAGTGACAAAGAGTCGGATCGACGTATAGATTAACGTATAGACAGACAGTGATGTGTAACGGTTACGTAGAGGTATTACATTTAATCGTTTACTCGTCTTTAGTACTGTAAGAAATCATAAAAAGCGATTCTGTATTTTTTGGGTTACCGACTAAAATTATGTGTGTATTTAATGCAATCAATCCAATGCTACTTTAGTTTCGATGAAAATCGGCTATAACAGACGGACAGATAGAGACAAACACCCGAGTAAACCAATAGCGGTTTAATTTTTCCTTTATTGGTACCTACGGAAGGACAATATTGTGGGAATGAGGTTACAGGGTTAATACTTTTCTTTTATGTACTTAGGAATCTTAAAAACTAGAAATGTAACGGTACATGCATTTTAAGTTTATTACCTATAAAACGAACTGTTATATTTTTTATACATTAATTTATATAGTTTTTTTTTTATCTTTTTGTACCAGTATTTTTACCCATAAATTCCTTTTATTGCAAAGTCTTAGAGTAACGGTTACATATTATTTTACTCACGTTAGATTCCAGTGATCCACCGGCGTCCTTAACAATGTCTACGGCGTAAAATATGACCACGTAGCTCCCAGATAGTATCTGTAGGATGTTGAAGGCGTTGATAAGCAACAGTGGCTTCATAACGGGAGCTCGTCTCACCGTCGCGAAAAATCTGAGATGCTCTTCACCTCTAGCTTTTTCCTTTTCACGGGCTGATATCAGTTCATGTAGTTCCCGTTGAGCCTGCGAGAAATAACTAATTTAAATAATAATCTTAATGAATGAAATGCTTAAAAAATCTATCAGCCCCAGGTAATCTGAGATAGGACATGAGCCCGCGAACTTTCGTAATGCGTGCGAATGCTCTAACCACTGGGCTACATACATACAAATGACCTAACAGACTGACGAATTTGAATTATGAAAATATTTGAAAATTCCATCGTCTTTGTCAGAGCCCATTCATTCTATGGGGAGGCAAATTCTCGTCTTGCCGTATTGTTCAGAGCTCGCAGAAAATGAGGGCCATCAAAATTAAGGATAGGTGCCGCGGGCAAACTTTTTATTGGGTCGTATGGGGAATGCTTTATGCTTTGTACCTGCCGCTTGATAGTCGGCAGGCAGTGTGAAGGGCTCTCCATCCACACGGAACCGCCCAAAGGCTAGTCAAAACACGGATGGCATACCCACAAACCCCCTTTAATGCATCCTCACTTTTAGGGTAAAGTCAAAGTCAAAGTCAAAGTCAAAATAATCTTTATTCAAAAAGACTTCTTAAAAGTACTTTTGAATCGTCCAACATTTTTTCCCTACCACTCGTTCAGGACGTCTTTTGGCTGATAAGAAGAACGAGCAAGAAACTCACCAGCTCTAATAAGAGTACCTAATGACATTTACAAAAACCATGTCATTACCAGATCAATACATTATAAACAGAGATAGAAAAAAAAAACTATGGTCTTATAATAATAACATAATCATTTAATAATAATGGAAACTAGATAATGAGTTTAGAAGTAATCACCTATACAGTTGCTGGATCATCTCAAGTCCAAGCGTTCTTATCTGTTATATAATCGGATACCTTATAATAAGCTTTTTTAATAAGTATTTTTAATAGTAGATTTGAACTGCATGATATCTAATTGTTGTATTTTGCTTGGGACCTTATTGTAGAAGCGAACACAAAGACCCTTGAATGAGTTATTAACTTTTTGCAGTCTAGTGACAGGCACCGTTAATTTATTTTTATTTCTTGTATTAAAATTGTGTACATCACTTTTTATCACTTTTTATAGTAGGATGCATTAAAGGGGCCTGGGATCTAACAGGGGCTGCTCCAATCCAGAGGAGAAATAAAAAAAACTTCTTCTCTTCTCGAACTCAGAACTCTAATTTGCCTCGTACCCCAGTCTAGAACTTGAGTACGCCGAACCGAGAACAGAGCAATAAATGTAGTGTTAAAGGCGCCAAATATTATTTTTGCCTTCAAAACGGCACTTGAATCTATAAAATTTTTGTTATTTGGTCAATTTGTATCAATTTTCCGATTGAGATACCAGAGATCTCAGTGACACTCGAATTTTTCAAGTAGTTCTATACTTGGAAAAATTCCAAGTATTATTCTATAATAAAAACTCGATTAGCATGGAATGCATTTGGGTGAGTGTGGTGCCAACTTTACAGTAAATTATATTGAGTTGAGTTTAATACATTAAGTTTCGGGTGTTTTCACAATATATTTCACAAAAAAATGATAAATATTTGTGTAATATCATCATTAAACTGACTGTGTGTCTCGTCGCGTAGAAAGTAACATTTATATTTCTCATGATTGTTTTATGAGGTTAAACTAGAAGTTACTGGTTTTACATTATGTACTTTGATTCGCATTGATTTAAACGAATGCACTTGTACATACGTACTTATTGAATGGCGAGCAACTCATTCGAGAATGTCCGGCGTCAATTGGCAAGCAAGCTTGTTGAGCTCATTAAGAGTTAAAAGGGGGCCACACGAGATTGTTGGGCATATGAAGTTTCAAGTTACTCAGTGCAAACGATGCCACGTGAAGTATCCACTGTTACGTTATAACGAATCAAACTCAAGTAGGAAATATTGAAGTTTATAAATAGAATGTTTAATATGTATTGTAGTATTTTTAATTTTTTTGCTAGTTTCAACTCATAAATGTGAAATTTCATAAAACAGAAAGGCGGTTAACACGTTCAAGAAACTTAATTTGAGCTTGAGCGGTGATTCTGAACTTTATTTATCTAATATAATGTTCATTAATAATTAGTATGTTAGCTCTACTTGCCTGATACACAGGTCGACCTAGTTCAGACATAAACTAAAAATTTTTACATACAGACTAAATGTTGATGATATGCAAAAAAATATATATTAAAGAAACTAGTTATGTAGAATATTTAAATAGAAGCTATATTATACACTAACATTACCGCAAATATGCGCTAACCAAATTCGGAACAATATAATTTAGGAAATTATAAATTATTATTATTGACAAATTAGGTGTGAACCAAGTGTGTGACTTTTTTATTTATTTTGATATCTTTGATCTTTTAATCTAAATCTGAAGTGTATCTATATTTTATCACACTGTTATTTTCTGGCGAACTATTCAAATTTTTATCTTAATTAATATCTTAAACAAATTTGATTTAAAACTTATTAAATCTTTGCTTTATTAATAGGGATAATTAATACGTCGGCTTTGTTAAGTACTTACTAAGCACGGAAGTTACTGAAGACAACTTTTTATGATAACAACCTTAAGAGAGTAAAGGATTTTTTTTTTCAAATGCGGTAATAAACAAGTAACGAGGTGGATAAAAAACTACTTACAATTTCAGGGTTGCCACGGAGTCTAGACATCGCTGCCATAGCATCATGGAAGCGACCTCGACGAGCCAGCCAAGTGGGACTTTCGGGTGAGAAGCAAAGCGCTATAAACGCTAGGACCGGCAGTAGTATGGACAGATACGCAACAACCCGCCAAGGTAGCGCTCCACCCAATGCATATACATAAAGTACGCCCAAAGAGTATGCTACGAACGGCGTTCCAATCAGTAGACCTCGCAGTCTTGGTTCTGAGATTTCTCCTAAGTACACCTAGAAAAGAAAATAGTGATATGAGACAAAAAGTTTATTGGTACTCTTCCGTACAAAATTTTAAAACATATAGTTATTTGGAAAGCAAGAAAATTAATGAACGAGTTTGATGGCGATGGCGTCAGCCTGTGATACGGTTGTTAAGCAACTTACGCAAGGGTCGGTCATAGGGTGGGTGACCAATGCAGGCATCTGCAGTCGTTAACACGCAGTAAACTCGCGTGGTAGGTCATGGTCCATTCTCCCTAATTGATTTGATCCGATTCGATGGGATGGCCTGAGCCTCTAATGTCAATGCATTAATAGGCTGGTGATGATGGTGATGAATGAAAGAATGAACTATAAGTGACATTGAGCTTTTACAGTAATAGAAAATACTAAAGATTATTTAAAAATAATATAGTCGGTCTCCGTACAAATATAATGGGAGATCTGTCAAGCGTTTACGGAAATACCTATGCGATGGATTACTAACCACCCGTCTTGTATGCAAAGTTGAATTTCATGTCATATATTTGTCATTTATGACGTTCTGCAAACGAAGGCTTAACAGTGCGCACAATGATAATGTCGGTGATGAGACATGAAACCCACCAATATCAATTTTGAGAATTGGTCGTTATTTGATCGTTTTGCTTGTTTTCGTTTGGTTACGCCATCACGCGTGAACGGCTAGACTGATTTCGCAATTTTTTTGTTGTGTTTGTTATGGTCAGTAGAAGGTTTTTATGAAAGAGAAAATTAAGAAAATTATGTGGAATATCTGAGAGTGTAAGAATATTTAACCACCATATAAAATTATTTCTAATCTAACCTTAGTGTTTTGGATAATATAAACTTTTTTAATGAAACCTCATAACTTTTGACTTAGACGCGACAGAATGTGCGCTGCTAATATCGTCAAATAGAATGTAAAAAACTGTTAAAAAATATATATCGTACGTTGAGAACGATAGTGACATAATGCAAAAAATGCGAATTTGAATAATGAGCGTTTAAAGTTCAAGAAATTTGTAATCAGCACGTCTAAACAACGTATCGTCACTACGCCACCTGGCAGTTTCGGGACGGCTAGTAGTTCATAAATATATTTTTTTATTTTCCTTTTATTCTAGATAGGCAGCACTTGACCACAGATTACCTGATGGTAAGCAATGCAGTGGTCTAAGATGGAGCGTTTTATTTTTTTAATTTTATTTTATTTCGATCATCTTAGCATCGTTTTTCTGAGAAATCGTTTCTGAAATGTATTACTTTTTTAGAGTACCAATCAATAGGATCCAAGAGTAAGCGATGTGTGTTATCAATTAAATAAACGTTTAAATCGTATTTTATATGAACCTGCGACGGCGCGGCCATAATGCCGACTGCAAATCCGCAAGCTATCCTGCCGAGCAGCAGGACAGCGTGGTGCACAGCCGTGCCGATGATCACCCAACCGACGATCAGGGGCAACACGCACATCTGTAGTGTCCGCCGCCGCCCTATCGCCTCCATAATAGGCCCTGATAGCATAGACCCAAGAGGCGTCGCCGCAGAATGGATACTGGCTGCATTCCAACAAATAAACTAACTGATTAATATGAATTGTTAAAATAATAAAAACTGAGGAGCTCGTTGGATCTGAGGCGCAGTGGTTAGCGCGCTCGGTCTGCAATACGCTTGCCAAGCAACTTTCGCTAGGGATTTTCGGATGGGTGGCCAAAAAACTACTATCTCGAGCTCCTCCGTGCTTCGAATGGTACATGAAGCGTATGGTTCCGACTGGATCTGCAGTCATTAACATACCCACCTTGGGCCCGCGTGGTGGATCATGGTTTATTCTTCCTATACGATTTGATTTAATTCCATCCAAAGGGAAGGCCTGAGCTGAGTGTAACTTTTAAAGTTATATGCTCAATAAATAATTACACACATAGAATGCGGATTTTTTATTACATGTACAAAAAAAAAATTGTTACAGATGATGTTTAAAACAGTTGATGTTGCATTTTATTCCATATCCGATGATTTATATTAAATTGCAACTTTAACTGTTTGGAGAGACGATAATGCATTGATGTTTTTAATAACGTAAGTATTTACTGTAAACATAAAGACAAACAAACAAACCAAAAAAGAGCACAAGAAATTATAGATTTTCTTTCTCTTTTATAAATGGCTTATCTGCGCGTTTCGCACAATTCTGACAATGTCAAGTGAATAAATTAATACCTACATGTAAAATGAAATTAATGAAAGATGATGTAGTCTTTACTAGATTTGATGATCAAATTACAGATTATAAAACAATCAAATTTGATCTGTCAACGAACATTTAAAATTTTATGTCATCGGAATTCAAATGTTTTATGTTTATTAGGTAACAATGTGTAGCTATAACTTTGTTCTTATCGATATCGATGAAAGAAAAAAAAGTGAAATTGTCTTTATGGGTAGTACATCAATTTCTGAAGTATTTACCTCAGGAGCAAACATGTCCAAGTATTTTTATTATTCTACTCGAACCCCATTAAAAGTGCTTTATATAAAATGTATGACATTGAAAATTATTTAGTATTATTACTATAATACCTATTAATATGATTGATAAAGCATATTGGTTTGTCTGTATGATAATCTTAGGAAATAACTGATTTGATCGTGAAGATTCATTCATATGACATACCTATAGGACAGAAACAATGTGAAAAGCACCTCGCTTTGGGATTAGATAGTTAATGTTTCTTTTTTCCCTATCTTGTAAGTCACTGAAAGCTATTAAATGTGTCAAATATATTATATTAAAAAAATAATATTACAATTATAGATCATAATTGTAATATATTTTTTTTAATGATGTGCTCATGTAATTGACTATGTTTTGATGAGAATAAAATATTTGAATATTTCATTCTTTCATGTAAAGGAAGCTACATTATACGCGGATGATATAAGCTTTAATTTACGCAGGAAAACGGTTAGTATTAAACAAATACAACTCTTTTGTATAGATTAGAACTCTTTTGACAAATTATAGTTGATTATTATTAGAATAGTTTTATTCATCCGTATCATGAGAGTTGGGTGTGTACATGTGTTTTGTTGAATCATAATAGTTTGATCACGTAATCTTTTGTTGTCCATAAAGAACAATACATGTTGCTTGGTCCATATAGTGAATTGAATGCATTTGCAATTGGATTTAATTTGACAATAAGATTAGGTTTTTTGATACAAGTTTCTGGCAGCAGTTTTGCGCCCTAAGATGATATTTAAATAGTAGTATACCTATTGGAACGCTACATGCTAAGGACACCGTTCTCTTTGTTTGTTTTTCACATTTTGATCTTGTTTCTAGGTTTTGCCATTTCTACTTATTCAAACTTTCGTTTATGATTTTACGGATTGTTCCGCATTCATTCTATGACGTCTCATCCCATAATTTAGTCATCCCAAACTAGTATTCCTAACTCAACTTATAAATATTTTTCTTAATTCATCCTAAACGCACTCCTTACTGATCCTGGAGCAAATATCACAAAAAAAGTGTGGATAGCATAAAAACGTTTGAATATATTAAAATTACCTAACTCGGGGGTAGCATTTATTATATTTGTTATTTATTTCGAGATGGAGTTGTTTTATTATTAATATAAGTAATGGTCAGGGAAATATTAACAGGACTCGAATAGATCAAATCAAATCAATTTATAATACATACAAAAATATACTCAACATTAGAATCAAAATTATAGCATTTGTCGATGTATTTTCTTTTGAGAAAAAGACAAACATCGATTTTAGTCTAGACCCTGTTTAGTCTACCACTCGAGCGCAGAACGTTTCAATATTGTGTATAATTATTATTAACTTAAATAAATACTACAAAAAAAAATATTTGTTACATTCCAAGTACCTTACTAAAGACTATTTTTTTTAAACACGTTTCCTATATGTTTTTGATACAACAACTCGGTAGTATGTAATACGGCAATGAAAGAAGATTTGTTTATTCGAACAAGAATTAACTTATTCTTAATGAAAAATATGAAAAATTCTTAACAAATCCATTTTGTCCCTGGTACACGAAGATAGGTTTTTTGTTGTTAATGTGAATTTTTTTAGCATTTTTCATTAAGAATATTTTCCAGTATAGCACTGTTAATGCAAAATTGATCAAATATAATAATTAACTTAGATAAAAAAGAAAATATTTATGTTCAGACCGTACAAAGAATTATTACATTTTTTATATGATTTAAACAAAGGTTGAATATGGAATACTGATCGGGTGAATAAGGAATTTAAAATAAATTAAATTGTTGCGGGTTGAATAAGGAACACAAGTTGTAAGGAAAAAATAATGTATAAGATGAGACATCGTGGGAAGAATACGGAACACGAACAACCCGATTTTACACGTCCTTTTTTATTATTCCTATTTGGTAATTTTATATTACTTATAAGCACTACATGAATGAATCAAGATAGAAAGATAAAGTGGACATGGCAGTCGTACCAAAACAAGGCTATACAGATAATTGACATAGTAACCATTAAACAAAGTCTAATATAAAATGCCTTATTTTGTTTTAAATCTACTAAATATTAGACGGCTAAAAGAAGGCGTTTTATAGTTTACGCGCGTTAGTATTTTACAATCTTTTTAATCACGATTTATTATATTAAATGAGAAAAAACTATAAATAAATATGTATCATTTCATTACAAATACTAGTAAAAATTTCTGTTTTTATTGAATTTTATTACTTCACATTTTTAGGTTCAAGTTAGGATTAAGGGTTGGGCAAGTGCTTCACCTCATCTCGCCCAATCGTGAGTAAGTCTGTCTATCTGTCCGTCTGTCATCACTCTACCAGACTGTATCTCATGAACTGTGATCACCGTAATAAAGAAATTTTCATATATGATGTATTTTAAAAATACAAAAAACTGAATAAATTTTTTTTTAAGGGTACTCCCATATGACAAACATGATTTTTTTGTTGCATTAGGCTGGTATTTTTGCCAGCTTTAGGAATATAATATAGATACCATTTCATTCGCTGGATGGGTATATATAACTCTTATTAAAAAACAGTAGGTAGGTAATATCCTTCGTATGCTAATATTATTAGACTACTAGTTAGAGTCTAGCTTGTTTGATAGTTGAGACTGTTATTTTGCCTAGTATTTCTGTAGACTGATATTAAATAGAAAAGTTGTGTAATTTCTTAAGATTCAAATAAATATTTTCATTCTTCATCCATAAGAAGCTACCAACGTGACTTATCTGACACAAGTCACTAGTTAAGGTATTCATTATTGACCAAATACACATTATCAACGCTTTTGCTACTACTAGACACGTAGTGATAACTGACTATTGATAAGCTCTATTACGTTTCCGAAATAAATGCAATCAATAACATAAGCATACATTATAAATTCATATTTATTACTAAGATAAACTAACATATACCACAGATAATTGCAATCAGATAGCATTATAATTAAGATGGTATAGTTTAATTGTTAGGTGATTCATTTATTTATAATAAATATTATATAATTATTAAGGTATAAAATGAAATCTAGGCTGTCGCTCTGTAAATAGATAACAACTTTAAAAGTTTCATACATTTTTTGCTATGCATGTGGTCATTCATCATGGCGGACATCGCTTATCAATTTATGTAGATAAATAAAGATTTGAATGTGTTCGTTGAATATATGTAATTGAGAATGTATGAAATATATATTTTTTTTAATGTAGTCTGGCTGTTTTATTGTACTTATCGAATAAAACTCGATACGAACTCATGGTCAAAATCAAATGGTCAAAATATGTGTCAATAAACAAAAATATAAAAAAAAACAAGTTTGAAGCATAAATAAAAAAAATATAGTAACAAACTATAATGAAACATGCGAACCACGTGTCACGTCACGATGTTTGTCCGTGATGTTTTATGTTAACGCACTGTCCAATCAAATTTAAAAGATAAGATTTTATTTCAAAAAGTGACCTTAGTATTTTTATTGCAAATTAATTAATTTAATATCATAAAGTATGATCAGTTCATCTTAGATTGTATAGGTATAATGTACATGTATTGATTGTCCAAGCAATTACGTTAGTATAATTATTTACATGTCCCATGCTTTAAGGCATTTTCAAAGTTGAACCAAGATTTATGAGGCGATTATTTTATTTAAAAAAAAAAGTTTTGAACTAATAACATATTATTAATATTATAAGCATTTTATATTATTAATATTTATTACTTTCTTTCAATGGTTGGCTAATTGTGAAAACTTGATAATGGCTAATAGTAATCTTAATACGTAGCTGTAGGTTTTCCGAATAAAATAAATAAATAAATAGGCCAAATGGTTATAATTATTGGTGAGTTTCATATATTTCTGATAGATAGAAGTTAATGTGTTATCCTTTGGATAGGTATGGTAATCAGACACGACTATCAATAATTCTTCCAGTGATCATTGATCTGAATACGAGAGCGATATCAAGCGATATTCGGACCGATAACTAGTATAGTGAATTATTAGTGACATGGTGAAGTGTCAATAGTACCGCGAATAGCGAAAGTGTTTTTTTTTGATTATTGGACTATTTTTGTAATTTTTATCGAGTAAATTATGTGTCGGATTGTGGATTTAATTGGCGTTAATATTTATCCCTAACCACATTCGAACACTTTGGAGTCAGTAGTGAGATTCAAATCCACGTCCACAATGACACGCTTGACATCAGCTTGAGTCAATTTAAAAAGAGCTTCTGCATAGCTTCATGGATACTCTTAACAGATAAAGACACAAAGAGAGTGCTCGATCATAATATAAAAAGTTAGAAAGATTCACTCCACATTGGGCGCCACATTATTTTATATGAAAAATAAGACGCAACATTACAGTATGGTGTTAATTAAATTTATTTTATTAAAATAAAAACAGGAAATGGTGATGTATGACCGGGTTTGTAAGTCATGTCAGTAATACATAATTTATATATATATTTTTTGGAAAAATAAATACTAATAAAGTAGAAGAGTGACCGATATAGTATGAATGTGTGGGTGGACATTCATACTATACCTACTCTTTCACTCACACTTTTTGGCCGAATTTAACTGTGTAGTTAAATTGTTTATTCGGGGTTGCTTTACAAAGACCACAGAATTTTCGAAATAATAATATTCCTTTGAAAAAAGTTGGAGATAAAAGAGAAAGTTTTAAATTAATTTACAAGAATTCGATCTTTTTCTAATACTCTTACTAAGAAGTAATTACTTGAGTAAATGTTATAACCCAGAATTGGTCTGTTTATTTAGCCAGCCCCGCCTCGCCCCGCATGAATCGGTTTCATTTATATGCTGTGGACCAATTACATTACGTGTCATCAATTTATTACGAACATATAAGATGATTAAGGAGAAAACGGTGGTCAACAATATTAAAATACTTTTTTGAAGAGATAGGGAGGCAATTCTAAAAGTATTTGCGTAGGATCTTAGCCTTGACGTCCATATGCCTGTTAAGCAAATATACGAAAATTTGTAATTACGATGTAGCAATTGTATTCATAATTGCGGCTTCAGCATTAACAGATTCGCCTATAACTTTGCTACTATTTTACAAAGTAATATCAAAATTAACCTTACCTATCCAAGATCCCATTTCGTCGTCTATTTTCATTGTGGTGTTTTCTGTTCGTAGCTGTGGTAGAGCCACAGCTGAGAAGCCGATCGGATGCCCCGCACCCGCCGCTAATATTAGGACGGCGCATGTTATTAGACACTGGAATAAAGGCACAGAAATTAATCACAAATTATCTGATTAAATATATACTGGGGATAAAAGTTAAGATTAACTTTGTATCAATAATCAGTGTCGCTACAAAGCACGTTAAAAATTTAATACTGCATTTATATTTGCACACGCCATGGACTTCGACATAATAATATGGATATAAAAAGAACTTTAGGTTTTTAGACATTAATATAAAGTCCTTTTATCATTAACTTTAACTATGCTTGAATACAAGATTTTGATTAAATCACAGCAAGAAGTTTTTGACATAAATATGCTTTCTTTTAACTAATATATATTGGTGTTTGTGTAAAAATATACGTTTAAATACCATAGTTAAATTAATGACAATACTTAATATTTTATTACAGAAATAGTATAGAATAACAAACCTCAGACATCCTATATTATATGCATTTTAATTACAAACTTTTTATACCTTTATAACTAGATATTAAAGAGTTATCTACATAAGATAGAACTATATAAATATGATAGTTCTTTGATTTCTAGTTATATGGGTATAAAAAGTTTGTGTTGAGAATGTGTACAAGGAAATAGGACGTACAAAGTTGTCAACCCTGAATGTGTACACTGATAGCATGTATGTAAGTACTTAGATAGACTTTAATATAGTTTTTATTTCATGTTGTTTTTTCCTCATCATTTATATTTCTATAGTAAAAAGTACTGATATACAAGACCCGTATAAGGTGGATTATGTTTTTGTTGGTATAATCAACTTAACTTAAGCCATTAATAGTTAAGTTGAAATTTGATTACGGAAAATTGGACTCTTGAAATAATATGACGTACCTACTTTATGTGTAATAATAGGTGGTTAGAGTATGTTATATTGAAAACATCTTTTTATGTATGGCCGTGACCCTCAGACTTCTCAGAGACATCTCTTGTCGTCGTAACGTTAACTAAACATATTTGATGATAGGCACTTTTTTAACTGATCACGACGAGTCTGAAGAAGTTGGATTATTTTAAAACGACTTTTAAATCCAAAAGGAGGAGGTTATATGTTCGACGGCGATAGATATTTTTTTATGTATGCTCACCGATATTTCCGCCAATTGTTGACCGATTTTCAAATTTATTTTTTTATTCGACGGCTTAATGGACCGATGTGGTCCCATTTAAATATTATCGAAATCAGTAGTTTTCTTTTTATAACAAAACAAAATATGCTTTTCACTAAATATCACTTATTTGACATTCATTCAAAATCCAGAAGGTAAATTTTCTATGTTCAAGGTTAATCGATTTCTTCTTGAAATCTATGTCCAACGAATATTAAGTTGCTTCCTATAGATGAGACTTTCGTTAATCGGTCCAATACTTTAGGAGTCTATCTAATGCAAACAAACAAGCAAATAAATCTTTCCTCTATATAATATGAGTATAGAATTATCGGGGAAAATTATGCCGAGCAAATAAATGTTTTTTTTTCTAAGATTTTCACTATGTTTAATATTTTTATTTCTAAAGATATTTAATATTTTTTAGTGTTACCAATCATTAAAAAAATAATAAGTACTACTAAAAAGCATGAAATAAAAACTTAAAAAAATTAGAACTGACTTCAAAACTTTAAAAAATAATAAATAATACGCGCATGCCATTTAATTAATTACCCACAGAAGCCTTGACTTACGCCCGCCCGACTTTAATTGCATTTTCTTGAATAAGTAGCTTTTGAGATAAGTATTGAGTATTTATCATTTTCTTAAAGTTTGTAGTCAGTTCAATTATTTTTTTTTTATTAACGTAAAAACGAATGGTATTTTAAAATATGTAGTTATTGCTGCCAATTCTGTTTTACGATTCTCTAAACTAATAACAGCTAATTTCTATTTGGGTTTGTTTGTAATGTTATCAAGGAACTACAATTATTCTTACTTCTGCATACTACAATAGGAGTTCGATAGCGCAATGATTGGCACGTTTGATCTACCATGTGGAAGCAGCTTTCGCAAGGGCCGGATATAGTATAAGTGACAAAAAAGTACATAGGATGGATGACAAAAATTTTGTAATCTCGAGCTCCTCAGTGCTTCGTTAAGCCGATTTCGTTTTGATTCCACCCACGCCCTAAACGAAAGTAGTGGGGATATTAACAGGCTGGAGATGATGTTGATGCTACTATAACATAAATGACTTATATTTACCTAACTTTGGAGACTTGATTGACTTTTTATTGTTGTATAGATTTTATTACTTTTCAATTGTTTTGCCATATAAGTCATCTGACAAATAAATAAATATAATTCTCATTTATTTTCAGAACTGAAAAAGCAGTTTTCAGGACTAAAATTCAATTGGTCTAGCCTGTGCAAGAGATTGGTCACCTTTGTTACTAAGTACCTACCATTCTATTTTTATGTTATTTATAATTATATTTGTTGGCGTCAATGTTGTTTTGTTGCCAAAAAACGTAACAGAGTTTTAACCGCTAGGAAACATTATGTATGTCTTAGTAATAAGCTGCAATTATATTTAGTCCGCGTCGCTTGGCGCCACGCCCGGGTAGGTACTCGGATTTTTCGCATGGGGTTAATGTATTTACTTCTGTACTGTTTAAAAATGAAACTGAGTTACGTGGAGAGGCAGGGCAGGCTAGATATCTGTTAAGTGTGAATCGGGTTTGCACTCTGTAGGTCTTGTAAAAGACATAATCACGGTCATCTCACCAACTGCAAATAAGTATTTTTTTGTGGCATGGAAATATGAAGGATATTTTGCCTTCCATGGTAATAGCTCGAGAGTTTAGATTACCCTTGAGGGTGGTAAGTATTTTTTGATTACGTAAATTTAAAAGACTGATTTTGTTACAGTTTTAAGGGATGGCAGACCTGTGTAGGTATATAGAGGTACAAATGCGCAGTGAAGTGAATTTATACAAATTCCTTTTTTGGTAAAAGTGTGAAACGAAGTGATCTTCTTGGGAGTCAGAATAACTTTAACCTTTTTGGCTGGTGAACAATAATATAATTATATTTTTATTGATCAAAATAACAAAAATATTTTGATAATGACAAGGTATGAGGAATGACAAGTTTACATTAATAATAATAAATCAATTATATAAATATACATGAACAAAAATAATTATTTTATCTACTCAGATACATACCCATTGTTGTGGGTTGAGTGAAGAACGAAAATAGGATGAGTAAGGAAAAAATAATGCATAGGATGAGACGTCATAGGATGAATACGGAACAACCCACTAATAGGAATAAATAATTTGTATAAATGCAAAATAGGATTGGACATATTTGAAAATTCTTTATGATCAAACCACTAGTGTATTTATATTATTTCAATTAACAGAATGAATAAAAAGCGAAATAATTGCTTGCCAAGGGGATAACAAGTATAGAGCAGTATGATTATATTACACGACAATGAACATAGCCTTGACAATGATAATGGGTGTGATGGATGGTGCGTCATTTGTAAGAAAGACCAAGATTAGTCGTACGTGACATTCAATCGTATTGTAAAAGAGTTTCAGTTTCGTTGTAACGGTAAAACATTATTTGAGGATCCTGATTTATTAGATACTAGCTTTCTGCCAGCGGCTTCGTTCGCTTGGTCTCTAGAAAACTGTTTGGCGGCATAAAAGGAGCTTCTGTGTTAATTTAAGCTTAGAATTATCCATAGTTTTTGTTTGAAATAGTAACAAACGCACATACATCCTCACAAACTTTCGCATTTATAATATTATAGTAGGATTTCTAATCCGGATATTAGAAATCCAAACGTTTTGTTTGGCTCGTCTTGGCGAGACACTACCGTGGCTTATCTAGATATGCGATATATTAGAATATTACTGACCTGATTAAGGACGCCTCGAACAGAAGAGTACGTCTCTCCCTTTACATAAGGCGGTAGAGTGGCAGTGGAACTGATGCTGCGAAGAAAGCTCTGTAGGGCCTCGTACTCATCATCCTCTTTGCTTGAATTTTTACTCGTAATCTGTGGTTTGATGTCGTCTGTGAGCATGGATTCGTGGGCGCCATCGCTGTGAGCAAAAAGATATTAACTCAGTTTGTGAATCATTCTATCTTAATTTATAACTACTTGACGACAACTCTATTTTTATATGGACGATATGTATCAAACATAAACCCAAGTACTTTAAGTGGTACCATATACTGAAACAAATAAATGTATGTTTTATGAAAATTAATAAGTAAAAATAGCAGTTTCTTGAATTAGTCGCTTTTAAAGTTTGAAGTTGGTTCTATTTTTGAAAAAGAAATGTATACTTTTTAGTGATATTGATATATTTTTTAAAGGTAATACTAAAATATTAAACCTTATATCTTAAATCATACATATATTTATATAAAAGAAAGTCGTGTTAGTCACATCATTATAACTCGAGAACCGCTGGACTGTTTTATTTTATGAAAATTGAGTTTTTGGATATGTTTTCATCAGGAATAGGATAATAAAGTGACAACAGCACTTATGAAAATCCATTGACAAGAAAATAAAATAAACGGACTCAGATAAAATGTTTCCCCAGAAGTGCCTAATGCACCACACGAAAAAAAGATGTGCGTCAAACGTTTACTCCTAAAAAATATAACGTTATTTTAAATAATTTTCGTATTTTTTGTTGGCACGTTTCGGTTACCTACGCCGGATGGTAATTAAATTGAAGTTTGTTGCTAAAAAAGCGAATCTTATCGTTTCTACTGTTAAAACAACGGAATATATACCCACATGATTTAGATAGAATTTTGTATTCTCTGATATGAATCATTATTTAAACCTTCAAATGGACGTTTACCCATTTCTATAAATCAATTTTACTACATCATTTATATAGCTATGAATATTATATTCGTTTATATAAATATACGTTTTATTTTTTATTTATTGATCTTTATATATCAATGAAAAATGGTACAAAATGTTGACTTAATGCTAATAGCATTCTCTCCCAGTCAACTTTTAGGAAAAACGACAAACACGATGGCGTCATACAATATCAATATACTTACATACAAATACATACATATAGCAAATACAAATATATACGAGTACACATGATGACGATAATCTTCACAAGCTTTGCAAAAGAAAACAATGAACTTGTTTTTTAGAAATCAATTTATTTGGAGATCTGATGGAGTCGGGGAGGCCGTTCCACAGTCGAATTGTTTGTAAAGTATATTACTTGGAAATTAAGCCAGTGTGAATAATGAGAGAGAGTTACAAGACCACATAACGACCATAAGTGTCAGAAAGATATTGAAATTTACACTTTTAATAATCTTGTGTATAAGGATTGGACATAATAGAGTAAAGTGTACCTACAGAGCAACAGCAGGTCTCTCCGCTGCCGAATGGTAAGCCATTTTAGCTGATACCGATAGGAAACATAGTTGAATTAGCGAAGACATAATATGATACGAATAGCATTGTTAAAAATTAGGATAACAGACATCGAAATAATCAAGGAGTGAAATAATGAGAAGTAACAATCTTAGTTTTAATAGAAAGAAAGTTCTTGAGGGCGGTTTAGGGAACGTAGAAAGAAGGTTACAGTTCCACTCAATTTGGTGATTTGCGTACCTAGTCCATCTGAGATTGGAGTCGATATGGAGTCCAAGGTTTTTAACACCAGGGCTGTTAGGTATTATTTAGATTTCGAACACAAAAGGAGGCAGCAGTATGAAATCAAGCTTAGAGATCTGTTTTGAACTACCAAGAATAATTTTAAGGGATTAACAGTAACCCTGAAACTAGACGACAATGCAGTGACATTATGAAGAACTCCATTTAGCTCAGAAATCCCTATACCAACTTCAGCGATCTTCTGTATATATCTGCAGATCGCCTGCATAGAAATGGTACGAACAGCCAAGCGAGAAAGATTGAATTAATGAAAATGGGAAACAGCAGAGGGGACAAAATCCCGCCTTGAGGAACACCAAATCCATTTTGTTTTGCATAAAAAATTATAAGTGTTTGTTTGACAGAGTCTATCAACGTAAATCTAGTAATTTCCGACGATATCTAAGACAATGCAAGTCATATCTATAACTCGTCCGAATTAACATGACACCAGATGACCTAAAAATTCGGATGTATTAGAATGGTTTCTTATAATTTTGATAAAATGATATCCGAGAAGATTATCTGCGCGTCAGTGGCAGGGGGTCCTAGCTCCGTTGAGTTCAAAATTATCGAAAATGCGTTTCTTTCTAGTCATATAGCATTTCAAAAATTAATGAGATTTTGTTTTCGGAAAAATGGAGTAGGCCTTCTGGTGTCATGTTAATTCGTAGAATAGTACTAATAATGAAGTCCATAAATATACAAATTATGCAAGTCATTATGAAGATCTCATAGTCTACGAATTCAATAACATATTATCATGTTAATTATATGCACGACGTTACGAGTCAGCGTATTTATTTTATAACATCCATTGTTTTGAGTTACGTCTAGGTTTCTTGTAATTCTACTTAAGAATACTATAATATATACATTTATTTAAGTATTCTCAGATTTAGCGATATAACCGTTACTTTAGATATAACTAATAAAATAGGTAATAATGATATAATTTTAAGTAACTCTACTTTTTATTATAAAAGTAGTTGTCAATATGTTATATCTCATGTTTATTTATGCAATGCATACAAAAAACGATATTAAAAAATAATCGTATAGTATGTATCTACCGTATAATTTTTTTTTTATTGATTATGCCTTCTCTTACTTTATTCTCATGTGGAGGTGTGAGGGACAGCAGATTTTTGAAAGCATTTTATTTAATATATATTAGATAAATTACCGTTTAAAAAAATAGTAGATACCTACAACAATATATTCAAAAGTTTAAATTGGTTTGGTTCGATTGGTTAAATCCGCGTGTTTTAACAAAGTTTATTCGAGATATGAAATACTTGCCTTTGCACTTTAATAATTCTTAATTTATTCCTCCAATGGAAAGCGTAGCCACAAATATATAACACCATTATGATATCGAGTCGTTTAAGAAAACAAATGTAATGCCAATATTATAAAAACAGTCGTCCGTTTCCGAGGACATTTGACTTAATATAAAACTGCTATCAAGAAACTTGCAACCCTTAGGTCATTTGAATGTTACCATAATTCTAAGGAATTCAGGACATTTAAAAAAAATTATATTTAAAAGAATAAAATAACTTGACTGTTTACCATACTTATATGTTCGATAAAAAGTAATGACGTTTTGTTTTGTTTTTATCTGAACCATTTCAGTGGGTACATAATTCATCGGAATGACTTACCTACTTTATTTGAATGCTTATTTTGTTATATTTAATATATTGAATGCCGAGTTAGTATTACCAGTTGAACATTCATAGTACAATGAAATTGTCAGAGCCTGATGCAAGAACGCAACGAACAATCAAGACTGTTTACATCAATTTGTCTACATATTCGATTCGATTCGATTCGAGACGATTCTGGAATTTTTTGAAGGTCTTACTGATACAATCAGCTGTTTCCATGTGTAAATGAATGTATAATATACAAGGGGCAAAAAAAATAAAATGAAATAATTACTACTGTATTTTTGAAAATTTATATTCTTTCACCCACGGGAAGCTACATTATACGAGGGTGACATAAACTATAAATTACGCGGGCGAAGGTGCGGGAAAACACCTAGTCTATAATAAAAAATACAGTTGATTTCCCCACTTACACTACACTTATCATTCATCATCATCATCAGCCCTTTTACGTCCCCACTGCAGGGGCTCAGGCTTTCCTTATGGATGGTTAAGGAGGATGGGCCATGACCCTCTACGCTGGCCCAATGCGGATTGGAGAGTATTAACGACTGCAAATGCAGCCGCGAACAACGGCTTAACGTGTTTTCCGAAGCACGGAGTAGCTCGAGATAATAATTTTTTGGTCACCCATCCCGTGAGCGACCCTTGCGAAAGTTGCTTAACGACAACGATCGCGGACCGCGGCGCTTATCCACTACGCCACCGAGCTACTTAACATTCACCATATTACCATTATACCTATTGACCATTAATGACATAGTCACTTTCTGACATCTTAGAGTTAGGGCAAAATTTCATAAAATCGATACATTCATCCTTCGCCTCAGAAAAATATTGATGATTAATATACAAAGATAACGGATTCTTTTTCTATGTTGTTTCAGCTGTTACCGAGCTATTGATTTAACGATTTTAACAATTATTTACCATTTGACGGGACATATCATTCTTTTTCGGGACTCTGGACATCCTCTGGAAAGTCTGGATAATCTAGACCAAACCTACCCTAGCTGTACCCATTTTACCATTCCGTACTGACATAAAGTGACAATAGTTGGTCTTAGAATTCGATTTTGTAGTTGGTAACATAATAAACGACGCTCTTTATTAAAATATTTACACTATTACTTACACTTGTCTGTGTGAACTGAATACAATGAAAGTTTTACATTGTTGCAAATAAATTAACTGATTTTGCATGTAGTTATATTTTCTCTCTGGCAGTGCGAGAAACAATATAAGTTAAAAAGATACACATTTTTTTAAATAGAACCGATTTCTCATTTAAAGAAAGTGGTTAATAATATTTATTTTAAAAGCGGTTAAATTTTTCAAGAAATATTGAAGGTTTATATTTCTAAAAATAGCCTTCTGTAGTTTATTACTACAGAAGGCTATAGTTGATATCTTAGGAAAGGCATATTTTGTTCTGTTATAAAAAGAAAACTGCTTGTTCAATTCCGATAAAATTGAACCACCTCGGTTCATTAAAACTGTCGATAATAATCTTGGAAATTGATTCATAACTGGTGGAGTAATCGCGTAACAAACAGACAAAAAACAGACACACAGTTGAATTGAGAACCTCCACCTTTTTTGAAGTCGGTTAAAAATCTCTTCCATACTTACTATAACTTGGGTGTTCTTTTATTTAATAAGTAGTTAAAATTTAGGTACATTTTGATTACACCTCGCCTGTGGTGGACTAGCAGGT